TAATACAGCTGAGTTAGCAATTTATTGGAGCTGAGCAAAAGAGTGGGCAGGGTACTGACAGCATAAATAGACCACCTTATCACAGCAGGTGCACTGGATTGGATCAGGCGGGAGTTTAGCAGGCAACTCAAGCTCGTCCTCCTGGACTAACTCACGGGCTTTGCTTCTGATTACTTTGGTTAATTACGGCAGGTAACACATTCAGCTCCAACTCTATATTCTTAAACTAGTTTTTGACATTTGATCAAATCTCCAAAGTTGCATTGTCTGCATGGTGCTCACCTGACTGTATTACGTGTAGATACACAAGGGCAAGTGGAAATGTACAGTACATATACCAGTAGTGGGGGGAAAATGATCCGAGGGCAGACGTGTGCCTCTCTCTCCTAAATATAAAGCTATACAGACATACTATTACTTACACGTCAGTTCTAGCTGTTGTGTGCTTAATCTATCACCTTGGAACAGCTGGCTATTAACAGTCTCCTTTTGTCAGTGAATCAGCTCGGAAAAACACTGACGAAAATACATTTACTGTCAAATGTTATTGGAGCAAAAAACTCAAAAGTGAAATGTAAAGTCAAAGCAAGTAATCTAAAGTTGCAGTTTAAATGCATCCTTTTGAAAAATGCAATACTCTATTCTCACATTTCAGAAATGGCTAAACAGATTTCATTTGCCACATAGAACATACAGCTACACTGATGTAGTGCTGTTGGTAACCATGTGAAAAAGTTTTGCAGCACTTTCTGTTAGTTTAATCAGTTTGTAGAAACCCTGTCCAAACAGATTTCTCCAGATCTCACTCTACAGAATCCCTAAGGGAAAAAGGCAATATCCTGCTACAGTTATTAAACTTTGACTTTGGGGTAAAATCCGGTCCTGACTAATAGGACTACTAAGGAATCACTGCAGAGCTTTGTATGCGATAATGAGAAATAGAGGTGCAGTCCCAATTCATTCGGCCTTCTCACCTCTGGGTGTAACTTATAATTACTCCTATGGAGCTATGGGGAGGCTGGCAGATTAAAAGGGAGCTGCCCTGAGGCTAGTTGGCCAGCCAGTTAGTTAGTCAGGCAGCCACTGAGCCTCTCCTGTAGGGAAACAGACTCTCTGGCTGACAAGAATGTCAACCCACCTCTCAAGGTGACACCATACTGGGCCAATTTTCCAGTATTGTGCTGAGATCACTCAAGAAAAAGGTTCCTATAGTAGGCTACTGTGTCAGCCATAGCAGTGTCACTTCTGCATGTGAAATTAAATAAGATGAGTCTAAGTTAAGTCTAAACGTTACTTTACTTGGGTATTTCCATTTTTGTTCATTTGGACTTCTACTCAGGAGATTTCAGAGGGAAATGTTTAACTTTTTATGAAACTACATTTACTTTGCAGATTAAGATTGTTCATCAAAAGAAACAGTTTTATTCAAAAAAAATATGCAGTTATAAATTAAACTACTCAAAAGCATAAACTAGACAGAATTAGCTCCACTTGACCAGCTGTAACATTAAAATAATCTTTATACATTAGTGCATCAGTAGTAATTCATCAATATGATGTATAAAATCATTACAGTTCTTAAGTGTTACAACACTGTATTTTTACTTACTTGGATGTGAGACTATTACATGTGAAGGAACTTGTATAATGAGGTTTTGCCGCTTTTCCTTGAATAAAAAGAAAGAAATACTTCTACCATTAATGCTATATTTACCTTAACATATAATTTCCTGTTATGTTGTTTTTTGCTAGAATGTTTTATCCTCTTAGTTTAACTTTGTTGTCTGACTAAAATGCACTTTTTTCAAAGAAGGCAGTTATGCAATTTAAATAACACTTCCTATATAAAAGTTCTAATCCTGATTTATTTCTTGCAAAATGGATACATTAGCAATGTTTTGGATGTTTAGTTCAAGACTTGTAGTGGTATTTGTACTCTGTCTGTAGGTTGGTATGATGTTTAATATCTTAACTGCTCTGTCCCACCGTAACTCAAGTCTCTGTCAAGACATTCACTGTACCAATTACTGGTACTAAACAGCTTCCAATCAGCCCTTAATTCACATATTCAACCTACAATCAATGTGTCCATTAAACTAAAATTGCATACTTATTACCAGTTCTACTAATCAATACACTACTGGGCAATAAAGCCAGCTGACAGAGTTGATAGGTCTTTCTACAAGACTAGTGCACCCTCAAGTGGTGTCCTAAAGAATTTGACTCTACTTGGTGTACATGTGAAATATAAACGGCACCATAAACCAGGTCATAATCTTACAAACAAATAATCGCTTTCAGGTCTCAAGACATAAGCCAGGATGTGTGTGCAGAAACAGGACAGGAATAGACACTGTGAACTCAGTGCTGCTACAGCAGGGAGGGAAAGAGAGAGGAGAGCTGAGTGATTAGAGGTAGGTTTTAAGAAGGAGTGAGGTATAATTCACAGGACTTGGCAGAGTGAGTAATGGTAGCACAGTCCTGCACAGAGGCTTTTATGAGGTACTTACTTCCCCCTCTGCAGCTCTAAAAGCCGTATATCATGTATATCAGCACTACTACTTCTACATGTACGACCGTTTTGCTTTCCAGATCAGTCCGCATCATTAACTAGAAGAATAAAACACTGGTAAGTGGTGGCAAGGAGGGAGAAGATAATGTGGATGTTTTGATAAGATTCATTTCTGGTCACTTGACTCTGCTGAAGTCTTCGTAAGTCTTTATCAGCGATCAGCCTCACCAGCGCAGTGAACGATATAACTGATATAATAACAACTGACATGATACAACTGAGCTGTACAAAAAGGTATTATCTATAATACTCTGTGTTGTATGTTCATGATTTTTTAATTGTTTATGATGCTGGCAACAGTAGGAAAATGTGTGTATACCAAAAGATGGATTATCTTGGATATGAGTGGTCTAAAAATAGAACGTCACAAAGGGGAAAACTGACAGGTTTTTCAATCTAAGCAAACTGGCTTGGAGCTTAAAATGTTAACAGTGGACTTTCTACCAATTTCTGCTGACGGCACTTCACTCATTGAGTTGCAAATCTAAACTCCTGCTTTTGTATTATGTATTGATGCCTTTTATGCTCTATGTAAAGCACTTTGAATTACTTGGTTGTTGAAATGTGCTATACAAATAAACTTGCCTTGCCTAAACTCAACCTGATATCAAACAGAAGTTGACAAAAAGCTAAAGCTCTTATGTTTTCTAGTCGGATATTCGCCAAATAAAGCTTCCCTGATAGGGAAACTCAACAGATTTTGCAAATAAAGGTCGATTCACTAGTCAAGGTCTGTGAAACAGTTACATAACGTCTTCTGTGGCAGTGGAAGAGCTTTGTGGAGTCTGAGAACCTGAGAGATGACAATAGGGTTATCATAGCTTGGGGTTGAAAACTATACATTTTTAACAGCAAGCCTGCAGCACAGAGCGGGGGCAGGAAGTTTGAAAGATGCAGATCTTTACCATGTATGGAGGCTCTAATGAAGAGCTGCTGCTAGCGCTGAGTTGTATGATGGGAATTGTAGGATCCAGCAACTCTTGCTAGTCCCTCAACTTTAAGAGCACAATCAAATTAACTGAATACACAATTAAGTCATTCACAGACAAATACTACAGTTTTACTTTAAGTCAAAGAAGGGTGAGAGAAAGAGAAAGCTTTCACCCTGACAGTAAAAGGAATGTACTTGAAGTACGCGAGGGAACAATGACAGCACTCTAGATATGACTGTACATGGTTATGGACACTCATATAATGTATGTCATATTTTTTGAATAATAAATCTTTGTGAAAAGCTTTATATGACAGTACAAGGCTGTATATACATTAAATTCCACAATCATTCCTGAAGACTTTGAAATTAAAAAACAAAAACAAAAAAACAACGTTTTGTTTCCTAGTTGATCACAATTGAAATTCAATCCATTTATTGAGATAAATTTAATTATTGTTTGAAGTTTCTCCATGTATGAAAAATATCTAACATTTATTTGCAAGCATGGAAAAGTTATATTTGGAACACAAATTATGCCACATGAGGGCAGTCTTTACTGCAGGACACACACACACACACACACACACACACTACTGCAAGCAGGACACACACACTACTGCAACCAGGATGGATGGATGGACACACACACACTACTGCAACCAGGACACACACACACTACTGCAACCAGCATGGATGGACGGACACACACACACACACACACACTACTGCAACCAGGACACACACACACACACTACTGCAACCAGGACGGACACACACACTACTGCAACCAGGACGGAAACACACACACACACACACTACTGCAACCAAGACGGACATGCACGCACGCACGCACGCACACTAATTTACCTTTTTACAGAAGAAATATCACCAGTGATTGATTTACAGTTGAAACATCATGAGTAGTGGAGAAACAAGTTGCACAACATGAAGTGTGTTTATTACTTTTTTAGTGATATACAGAGTCATCTGTGGTTGACAGAACTAAAATATAAAAACTTCAGTGTCACTACTAAAAATATTCTTTATCTACAATAAATAATGTATATGTTACACATACACAATGTTTAACTTGAAACTGAATTTAAACATGGTGAAACAAGATGCATGCAAATTATGTGTATATGTAAATAAATTACTGCAGACTGAGATGAGATGCTAACAGCAAAAGGCACCAATAAAGAACCATCTTATTGTGATTGTGGATTTTACTTCACATATTGCAGTATTACTGTCCAGGTCAGAGTGATGAGAGCATTCTTGAAGCATGAAGTGAAACTGAGCACATGAGACCCTTGAGACCCTTGAATTTTTGGCAGCTTATTGTTCACAAGTAAGGAACATCCATGTAAGTAAAAATACACAAACACAATAATGATGAAGAATACCCAACAAAATAAATGTACAACTTCTGATTCCATTGTTTGCTGGAATTGTTAAAGCTGGTTATAAAAAGGACACTGAGAATAATATATATTCATTTTTTATATATTTTTTTATTGAAACAATAAACATCCAAAGTGTTAGAGAGAGGAATCAAAGCACACTAAGAGTTAGGCAACTGGAACGTTTCATTATGAACTCAACAGTGCTCTGCAAGATAAGGTTGTCAGTGCATTTTAACATCATGAATTATAAAATTCAAAATACAAAAAGAATCAAATACATCTCGACTGTGAGGGTGGTATTTTGCGAGTGAGGAAGCAAAAGATAAAGGCAGTGTGAGCACCGACACGAAAAGTAAACTACCACACACTGCTGCTGCTATTTGAGACATTTTGGCCTTTATCTATCAGTACACGCATCATTATTATGATTATTATGACAACTTAAATTATACAAAAAGCACAAGGGATGACTACTGAATGTTTTAAGTTGAAATACAGCCAGAAGTAATTTCAAAACATCCCATTTTCATGAGACATATTAGCTCTACAGACATCGAGATAATAGTACTAGAAGAATTACATGTTTCGCTTTTTACAATGCAGAAGCTGGTTTACTGAATTCCCCCTTTTAACATAAATGATTGTAATGAAAAAGCTTATTAAACGAGTTCTTCAAGTACACTTCCAAAATTGTTGGCAACTATATTTAATGTTGTTCTGGTTGTTTTTGAATGGCAGACAAGTCTAACAGAGGCCTCAATATTTCACTGTTGTTGTATATTATGTCACCAAAACCACTCTATTCAATCACACCTGCAGTTTATGAAATAACATCTGGACAACATTTTGACTAATACTGTTTGGATACAATTTGAAATCATGGACAGAAAGATGGACCAAAAGAGTGCAGTGTTAGGGAGTCAAATGAGAAAGTGAAAGCCACTCTCCTAAATACGGTATCTTCTTCAGGGTTGTATGTTATATATTTGTGTGGTATAGTGCCACCCAATCCTAAATCACACCAATGATACCCATGAGAGAGTTTGTCACACTCATTAATTAGACTGCATAATCACTGCAGTGCTCATAAATAACTTAACAATTAATAATCTGCGACACAAGCTGTTCCGTGTCTTGGAGTGGTTGCTGATAATGACTTGTCAGCATGTGTACACTCACATTTAGTGTCTGAGCACAGGAAAAGGGGAAGCGTTATAAGCGATCGTGGTTATCAAATACAGTCATGGCTGTGGCTTTTCAATTATTTTTTGGCAAACAGAAGCTTGAAACATTCTGTTGAAAGTCTAAAGTAGCATTCTTTACCTCTCTTCCTCCCCTCTGCTTGATGCGTCACCACCAGAAAATGCACCAGCATACAATAACCCAAAAACATAAAAATGTTAACATTGTTAACAAATAGTAATAATATTAAAATTTTTAAAAAGAATAAAATCTGGAATCCTTCTTCTGTACAGCAACTGGCGATTGGTGACCCCCCCTCCCAGCCCAGTTGGTTTTGGCAGTGGTCTAACACTTGTGCTTCATGGCAAGCTGTAGAAAAATTGGGGTGGGGGAGCAGGATAATACCATGAGAAACTCAACAAGGCGGTGTGAGTGGATTTTTTAAAATTGCTCCATCAGCGAAATGCTTTCCAGCTAGAAACAAGTAGATACAACAGAGTCCCTTCAGTAAAATGTGGAAGCGAACACAGTGATTAGTAAAATGAGGAAATTTAAGGCACAGATATGATTATTTTAGTACTTTTCCATGAAGGAAGAAAGAAGCTGTTATGGGAGGTTTTTTTATACAGATGCTGGAAGGCAGCCATGATTCTTTTTAATCAGGCAATGACAAGTAAACTTCATTTATCTCATTTGCAAGGGCTCTAATGGCCGGTTGGACAGATGACCAGGGCCACCAATCTTATACAAAGCTACAGGGTGATGAGGATGGCAGATGCACACATTTACACACACATGCACACACACAGACAACAGACTATGGTATAGGGTATATAAATAGTATGGGGTATGTTGCTGTGGAATGAGGAGAATGGAGTTCTACAGACTGAACAAGTGGGGGCAGTAGAGCAGCACGCAGAAATGAGAGGTCTTGATTAAAGCCGAGCGGCCCAGCGAAATCAGCTGCTGTCACACAGCAAGGCGCAGAGATGGAATTACAGAAGCGAAGCAAGAGAAAAAGAGCCAAGGTGACCCGCTCACAGCACAGCAGACACTTAGCGCTGCACTTGGCTATAATTTAAAGTTACACTGTGTGCAGAGGTCCACTTAAAACACATGCAGGTGACTTGAAAATAGGAAAAGTCAAATCCTTCACAATACATGCTGTCAAGCCAGCCACAAAGTCATTCTCAGACAGAAATATAAGAAGTAATGTGCAGATTGTTTTGTTAATTCTAGCAGTACTATACATTTGTACTGCTACCAACTGCCTTTCACAGTGGGCTTCAGACATGCAACAGTATGAGTTATGATGATGATGTCCAGGACAAATGACAAGTTATAAATAAAATCATATAAAAGCTAATGGCAGTGAGTGAAATGAGAAATGCTGAAAAATGCGTGATTCTTCATGGGGGCTCTACAGTCATTTTCTCCTGAAACCACCACAGCAAAGACATTTTTCTCTGCTTATCACAGTTTCTGTAATTCATCACGGTGGGGAAGCTCATCTGAGAACAGTAAGAGGGCCATGAAAGGCTCTTCAAATGTCTTTCAATTATCCCACCATCGCACCATTCAAAACAGTAATTTCCGTGGGTAGTGAATGGCTTCACTATCAAAGACAGTGACTTTTACTGGCACATGTCTAAGAGTGAAGGCTATCCACTGACAGCACAACAGTGCAGGAAGCCACGCTGTAAACCCAGGGGTGTGTGATATAGCTTTGTGCTACTAGAAAGAAAGCTATGATGATCGTGAAGTGTTTTGCAGTAAAGTATTATACTATAAGTATTAGAGCCTCATCAAACAGCATGCTATTAGTTTTACAGACAACCAAGAGATATGGGATAGAAGGAAGATGAGGGAACACCCTATAGAGAAATACAAAAGAGTAAATGAGGGAAGAAGAAACTATTATCTTCCCAGAGCAGAAGGCAACACTGCTAAGAGGTTGAAGTCACGATGAGGCAACTCTTGCAAATATCCTCAGGGTTAAAGTAAAATGTTTGATCTTTTGGCTAAACTACTAATGACTTTAAAATCATAACTAGATATTCTGTAAGAGACGAGGTGGGACTCGAGGTCAGAATTTCAATGGATTGTGTTAAAAGACGCACATTAAACCCACCCTGTGTTTTGCCTCACCTTGTGTGCAGTCACAGCAAACTGTTCAGCACTGTTCATCATGTCTGCAGTCTTCTCCTCAGCGCGACCTAATCGCTCGCCGCGCTCATTCAGTGCCTGGCTGGCCTTCTGTACGGCACTCGTCACGCTGTCTGCAGCTGAGTGTAGTATACTGTTACCTGCAGATAAGGGTGGGAGTGAGGAAGCCAGACAGAGCAGGGAGAGGCAGAGAAGACAAGTGAAACACGAAGGAGGAGAGAAGAGACAAAAGGGAGAGAAACCGTCATTCCTTTGGTGAACAACAGAATGTCTTAGACAAGCTGCAACAAATGAACCTGTGACATTAGATGGGGTGCAGTCCAATCCCTGACCCTGAGCATTAGCGTTAATGGTGGAGGACACAAACATGAAAAAGTAAATGGCTTTCCATCAGGTGCAATGTAGGAAGGTGGCTAATGAGTTTTACTCAAAGCCGATTTACTTCAAGGAAAGAGCAAGTGAAATTAACCTTTTCAAAGTTGAAAGTATGCAACAGCAACACATGCAATGTTGGATTTAACGTCTCTATTTAGGAACACATGTCATTTCTGTTGACATTCAGCAACACTTTGATGCCAGCTCTGTGATTAGTCTCCTCTTTTCGAAACTATAGAGTAATGAAGAGAGGATATGTGCTTGGTTGCACGGGCAGCCCTCGAGACCCATTAGTGGCTATGAGACAGAAAACACATCTTCGGATTGCTGTGGCAGCCCCGCGGATGTTTCTTTTGACAAGCCATTAATCTAACGCACGTCGAAAGTGCTGCTGTTATGCACTACGCTATCAACTAGACCAAGAACAGCAATCTTTCTGCTGCTTTCTCTTTGTTGGCAATAAAGTTGCATTGTTCCAGTGGGGTCTAATCTGTCATTTTATGTAGATATACCTGAGGGCAGCATGCCAGTCTAGGAAAATATCGGATTTGTTTTTAAAGTTGCTGCTTGCTACTGATGTGAACTGCTAAAACTGCTAGAAGAGGGAAAGGGGACTTTGAGTTTGTAGTAGCAAAGTCTTGACAAGTTATTACAACAGAGTGTCACCATAGGGTTCACAATGTGACAATGTGAAAAAATAAAAAATGACTAGGAGCACAATATTCTGCCCATTGTAATGTAAGGCATAGTGCTATTCGAATCATTGGATTTGGAGATAAACTCCACAGCCACTCCAGAAAGGCCAAACATAGTTTTGTTAAACCAAATGATTCATAACTACATCTTTTACGCTGTTCCCAACCTTAAAAAGTGGAAAAATAATAATAAAAAAACCAGCAAACACACAGTGATAAGTTAGATTTGATTTTCCAAAGTCTATATCCACTGATATACAGAAAATGAGTTTGAGGAGAAGAAACAGATAGAGGAGAGATTGAAGGTACTGACTGTATTAAGACCTGACAAGCCTGAGTCTATCTTTTCCCACGGGAAAACTACAATATAGTGAGTGTATGTCCCGTGGCATCAAGGCAGGTAGCCTGAGTGGCAGATAATTGGGACAGCTCCTCTGCAGTGGCTTATACGAGAGCCCCAAAAGCAGACGGCGAGACCAGCTGGTGTTCCTTCAAAAGAAGTTAACTTGATAAAGTCAAAGCAATTTATGTAGAGATACACACCCGCACCGCAGACACACAGATGTACATATAACTCTTCAAACCCATACCTACGCACACAAAAGGAAATGGAGAAAAAAAAAAAAACACATGTACATATAGAAGGCTTTCCATCAGCCAATTTTCCCAAGATTGCAGTAAATGAACCACAGGCGGCAGAGCAGATTGCACATGACAAACACATCTGGAATGATGATGAAATAAGCCTCACCTTCTGGGATTACTTTTTCCTTTTTCTCAAAAAATTAAATCAAAACGCCATAGTAAGCTGCAATAGTCAAGACTTACTCTGTGACGCAGCTCCAGCTTAAATTTAACTTAACTTGGAACTATGAAGCCATCAGCAAAGTAATGTTATTAACTATAATACATTGCAAATGATCGATGAATGAAGGATTCCAGTTTACGTAGGCTTAAACACATTCCTGCTCTGCTTCTGTCTGGGGAAAAAAACATTCTCGTAGTGGCTTTAAGTCTTCACTAGAAAGGATAAGACCTTTTCACCTTCAGACAGATTCCTCTTAATCCTCTCCTCCTGCGGGATAACCCAGGGAGTAATACTCCCATCATCCTCAATATACCCCCCACCCTCACAGCCCCTCCACACCATGCAGTCGGAGAACATATTCCTTTATTTGTCTGCACACCCTTTTTCCTTTCTCTGGTGCCTTTCTTCATTGTCAGAGATCAGTGGCGGGGTGCAGCGTGGGCTCTCCCGGTGGAGAATGTAATTACAGAAAAGGCAGGGTGGAGACATTCTGGAGAGCTTATGAAGGGGCTGCTGCATCAGGAGCTGAATGAAACATGTGTAGGAGTAGATTATGCTTCATGGTGCCATCGCTGAAACTCTAAGCCTCAGTGTCTTTTAACTTAAAGTAGGAGCTGATCAGCCATCACTGTTATCAGTGCGGATAATGGCAGTTCTTATGTTACTTAGCGGGTTCATTCATTCTGCATTTTAATGAGTCAGAAGCTGTTATGACACTGATGTTGCACTGGTGAATCTAAAACAGGAGCTTTTTTGCGAAGACTTTATCAACTAACATTGTCGATTGTAAATGGCTTGCAGTACAGTGTGAGGCTGAACCTAGTGCATCCAAGACACGCCTCTCTCAAAAATGCAGAAGGAACTTTGTTTCTATAGCCCATGATATCATCATAAACCAGGGTTTCTTTAACAATGGGGAATGAACAAAAAGGCAAGTTGTTTTCCGGACACAAAATAATCCAGAAAATAGGAGCTGAGCAAAGATAAACATAACAAGGAAGGGCAAAGATCATTCGAAGACGACCCTTCCTTTACCAGTTCTGCTGTAAGCATTAGATTACAGGCTACACTGCTATGGCTCTAAGAAAATAAGCTGATGGATATCAACAGGAACATGTCAGACACACTTCATGTGATGCTGACAGCCAGGTCACATTCACTCTCAAAGCATATGGGTCTGATTAGATTGGATGGTTAATTTCAAGAACAAACACACCTACACACAACGGATCCATGCCAGTAATACTCTCTGGCAGTGTACATGATCATAAATTCACTGTGCGAAGATAATGCTGTGGGGTGTAATGTCTGTGTGTTTGATGGGAGAATGCGTCTTACAAGTATTAGCGAGTACATACGTATCTGCACTTTAGCAAGTTCCATCAAAAATTCTCCTTATTACCAAGATATTACCAGAGGGGCTTTAAGGCTGGTGTTATTCACCCAAAGAAAAACGAAGCATTCTGTCAAGGATTCTTGTAAGTGATCCCAAGCCTATTCATAAATATGCAGAGTCTCTTGGGTATGAAATACACTGCAATTGCTGTTATTTTCAACCTGGGCCTCATTTTCCTACTTTCTGCTACAATTGGTTAGAGAATATTTCATTACTATTTTACTGTAGATTTATGTACTTTTAGTTCATAGAGATGGCAAACAACACGATCAGATTTTCCTAATGTTGAGTGGAAATACAAAAAGCATGTCATCACAAACAATGAAGATCAGTGAAAACCTCTAAATGTAAGTTATTAAGCTCTCTGATCTATTCACAAAGTCAATGTGTAGTTACAAAAATATATTTTACACCAATGTATGGTTAATTTTAAATTCATAAACACAATTATATCAACTGTGCCTGTTCTAATGTGTTAAACATTAAGAATCACAGACAAAATCTCATCGGTGTGACTGTGTCAAAAAAAAAAAAAAAACATCTTTTAATTTATTTTTAAATTCAACAGATTGAAATTTCTTTTCCTCACTGTGTGAGACAGCAGCACTGGTGGAGGCATAAAGCTATATAGTTAAAAGGTGACATATGTTGAACATATGTTGAACATCCAAGACTCCTTTAATGCTTCTGTGGTCTAGTATTTTGACAAGTTTTCTTATCTAACAAGATTAAAAAAGAAGGAACTGGAACAAAATCTTAGAAAATCTAATGTATTCTGGATCTGATTTAATTACAGTGCAAAATTTATTATGGGTATACATGCTATTTTGCTGGGGTTGGGCTTCTATTCATTTAAAACCACAAAGGCAAATTCACAATAAATAAAGCAGTGATTCTTTAAGTAACAATGCTGCTACTTCGCATTTCATTTTCAAATGGACTCTATATAACAGAATGGTTTATAAAATGAGATCACATGGGCCTAAAGACACATTCATGCTGCTCTTGCTGTAAGATAAAGTCCCGCTGCAGTTTAATTAATGCAAATCTTGACATTACCCGCAGCAGTATAATAAAACTATAGCGGGAGTTCACCCTGGGAGGGCTGCCCCCCCCCCTCCCGGCAATCCCGATGCACACCTATTATTTCACTTTAGCCTTTTATCCAATCACTTCTCTTCACATTCTTCCTGCAGTTATTCCCAATACAGTTACTTCTCTATTTCAATGGTCACTCCAAAGCCTTTTATATAGGGCAGTTCTCTCTTTCTCTACTGTATATTTCTCCCAAATCATTAAGCCATCTGTGCATTTCCCTCTTTTTCCAATACAACTCCCTTCACATAACATATGTAGCATATATACATCCAACTATATATGTCTATCATTATATCATTGTCTTTCAGGCAACACAATGCTGCTCCTTCCCATCCCCACCACCACAGGCATCCAGGACCTCACCAAGATTAGCAAAAGCAGTCACTAGCCATCTTCACCGAGACATAAACTCGACTGCACTATCACTCAGTTGCTAATGTAAAATGTATAATCCCATGCTGAGGTTTACGACAAATGATCCTATTATAAATAGTAATAAAGCCATTAATCTGTATTGCCTTGTTGGTCCCTCCTGCATGAGCTACATTTGATTCAATGCACATATTTATATATCCAACAGATACTCACATTTTTGGATGTGTAGCACCTGAATGACTCCTTTAACCTCTTGGTCAACCTCTCAGAGAGAAGATCAATCTGCCCCTGACATGACATTCATGAGGTGAAAGGCTTGACCTTACTTGCTCAGTTGGCCTGTAACTCAGTCACTGTCAAGCTGGTTAAAAAGGCTTCAGCAAGACACTGAGGACACTAATGGGGACGAACATGGAACATTTTGTCCTAAATGTACCTCAAAGCTTTGCTGACACGGACAGAAAAATAACTACTAGGTATTCATGAACAGCCTAGTCTTAGTGGCTTTAATCAGCAGATAAATGTCAGCATCACACAATGCATTAAACAGCCAACATCATCATCACCTTGACTAAGCTTAAGTGTTATTTTGTGAAATGCTATACAGAAGTACAGAATACTAAGGAAACCATTAGCTCTTGTTCGTCAAAATGGGATCTACACAGTATTATTCAGTGACTGCACACACAGTGACACTGAGGGAGGAGGACAGTGAAAGTAACTCAGATAACCTTTTAATGTAAACTTAAAATCCCTTCCAGCATGTACTCAACCCCCACAGTGCTAACACACACAAGGGAAATATTGACCCTGTTCTCACTGGGGGCACAAGGAAAAAAGATGTGTGTGCGTGTGTGCGTGTAAATGTTTACTACAGTATAGTCTTAAAAATCATGGGTCATTTAAGTCCCTGAGCCAGAAGCTTAGCCTCAGGTCAGAAGTTAGAGGACAGTCTTCATTTTAAACTTTTTAAAATCCAACTTTGCAGAATGACCTAATTTATTATAGTCAGATTTTCAAGTGTATCTACTGTATGCTACTGCTTGAAACCTTGCTGTAGTCAATATCTGATTTCCACAAGTATAAGGGACACATTTTCCATAGTTAAAATGAAGTATTTCTGAAAGATAATGTGATCTCTTATCAGATCTGACTACTATTGGAACTCATCACTGGTTAGTAGGAGAATACTTGTTCAACTTAGGCCAAGAAACTTTGTGTACCACCTTGGCTTACAGGGGAATTTAGTACTTCTTAGTCTGGGATATAATAATAATATTTTAATTTAGTCCAAGAAGTTTCATATACTATTGGCTTACCTCGTCTTAGTAGATGACCAAGGTGGGCAACAAATTCTTTCCTCATTCTGTTGAAAAAGACCTTGCAACGGAAAATGACTGAATCTACAGCTTGGTCTTCTGTGATGAGAAAATATTGAAAGTCATAGTCAGCTTTTATATTTAAAATATGATATACTTTTAATATTAGTCAATCAGGGGTTATAATTTTTGGAATATGAAATCATAAGTGAGACACTAAAGGGCTTAATTCTTTATAAATGTCATGCAACTGTGAAACTGGTTACTGTTTTATTATTTATCTGTTGGGTACAATGTAGGTGGCACAATGAAATGGGTATTTTATGTTAAGTAACTTTAACAGGTATGACATGTTAGTGAATAACGTTTTAAACTAAGCCCACATTTATGCAAGCTGCTTCTTACACCTGACTGGAGGATTCTTAAGCCTTACATTTGTGCTGAGCATTTAGCGTAAACTAGAGGGAGACTAGTTTGCCTAATGCTTAATACTTAGCTTCCTTAGTTTAATTTCAATCTTCAAGAAAACAAGTTTAATTTAAATGGTTTTACATACCAATATCAAATCCTCAAATAACTCCAATTAATCTAGAAGGTCTTTACTGCTCTATCATATATTTTAACATTTTGAGAGTCAAGTGATGCCACCTGATGATTCAATGTTAATATTACTTCACAGATGGCTACTGTTTGCAGCCTATTATCATTTTCAACTCAAGACGACTGACAGGACCTCCTGCAGTAACATATAGTCAGCTTGGGAAAACAGTGCAAGATTAAGCTCAAGTAAAGAACAAAGCTGCTGGCATCCACAGGCCACTGTTGACATTGTCATGACAAGCTTTAACATCCCCAGTACACCAACAACCATCCCCAGAGATTTGTCACTTGGCAGTAATATCGACTTCATTAATTCTATGCATGCTGTCTTGAATAGCCCTGAATAGTCTTACAGGGGCTATATTTACACGTCTGGATTCATCTATCTGTGTATGACGACATTTATGTGAATTAATTATCTATTTTTATCTTTCTAAGAAACTGCCATGCCAGCCAACTTTTGCAGATAGCGTCTCCTACAGTTATGGTCCCACACCTGAGCAGCGTCATGATTTTTGTTTTGCACTGGTGTGAGACTTAAACTGGAGTGGACAGAGTTGGCAGCAAGCTGGCACCCTCTCTGTTCCTACTGTCACAAAGTGCGTGGTGAACTGTCAACTTTTTCATCTATCGCACACAGCTTCCTCGACACACACTGGGGGGCAGGTGTTCATTAGCAAATCATCACCCAGATGGTCTCCCAGTATGGTGTCAATAGCTGGATCAATAGCTGATTCTACAAAAACAAGTTTGGCTCTTAGGAGGGTAATTTAAATAGAAAATGTAGTTTTTGTAAATGCATTAATATCAGAAGCATTTATATCAATTGCAGTGCATTGTGTATAATAATGAACCATGGATTTTCTTAGATTTTGAGCATTTAAAAAAATGTAACAGTAAATGTAATCTTCCGATCTACTGGAGGCGTGTGGTGGATATGCATGATATGCACTCCATAATCCATCCTACTCTAAAGACCCCAGGTTCAGTGCTCTCCGGGACACCACTACCTTCCCACCTACACATACTGAGACTACAGTACGCACCAGGGGCAGTTTAAGCGAGTTAAATATGGACTTGCTTTTCAGAGTAGGAGGAAAGGTCAAGGCAACATAACAGAGTGTTGATGAGGACAAGCAGCTTTATCTTCAATGGGCAGATACTGGGTTCCCACACACGTAGAGTAAGATAGAAAATCTGGTTTAAAATCTGGCAATTTTTTTGTTTTAGTTTTTTATTTCTGGTAATTGATTTCTGTATGTGGGGCATATGGACAACCTGCAGGAGGTGAAGGAGTTTCCATAAATAATTGCATGAATAATACAACAGGTTGAATGGTGCTCAAAGATGAGGCTATGGGGGTAAACAGATCAATATCTGATCAAGCCACGCAGGATGCTGCATTCACTACTGGGTTTCACTGTAGACAACCTGCACAAGAATTCTCCACCTCCTGGGTAATAAACACTTGCAGCCAGCAAATGAACAATTATGCAGTTTTACATTGACATTTTATATGTCTAAAGTGTTTCGACTTGGTTGTGGTCTTCACTTATTAGTTGGGCATGAAATAAATGTTATTTTCTGGGGGAGAGGTTAGCTTTCAACTGACTGTTTTTCCACAGTCTCACACATTTAATATCAATGTCAAACAATAATTATGGGACTGTTACAGCTCTTACTGTGATGTTTAATGTTATTTTGAAGGGTGGAAACCAATGAGTCTCACACTTCAGGCACACAGTGTTATGTGTCAACACCACATTAATTACGTAAAATTATTATTATTAAGTGTTGTTTTTCTATGTGCTGTAAAACCAGTTGATCCGTGTCAGATGCTTTGAGTCTCAGCTGATGTATTTTGTTGGACATCCTCATTGACCTTACTTCAGCAGAGCGCTCGACAGATGCTGTGTACCAGGAATAAGCATGCATTTTCATACACACCAGGTGCTGGTTGTCATCATACATAATCAGATTCAAGCTGGCTTACAGCACAGTATGACAGCAGTGAGTCCGCCATTGCAGAGCCACTCTGTTCTGAACACAAATATTAACCAAGAAGAGTTGGGAGAACTTTTTCAACTTCTTTGTCTTACCCCCCAGCAGTTTGGACTGACAGTTGACAAACTCTGGTTTCCGTGCTGAGCTGTAGCGCTGGCAGGTGTGGTGAAGAATCTGGATAAAGGTGCACTTCTCTCCAGCTGAACCAGCAACCCACTGGTCAAAAGCATTTTCAAACATCAGGTCAAACTCTGGACAGTCCTTGGAGAGGGTAACAGTGAGAGGGAGATATGAGCGAGAGGTGAGAGTGTAGTAAGGGAAAAGAAAGTTACTTTGTATCAGTAAACATGCTAACGCTGAAGATTCCCAAGGCTAAGCTCACTAAACAAATACCACTGGCTGAAGGAGAGGCTGAAGACCGAGACTGATTACATACTTTGTTGGGGTCAATGCCGTTGACCTGCCGTAGCTGGTCAATTGTCCACTGTGACCTTTTTACAAAGGCAGAAGATCCTTGAAACTGCTTCACCTTAGTGATGGATAAGTGAGAAGGTTTCTTATTTGTCACTGTGGAGATAAAAACAATATAACACATCAGATAAGAATGCTGCAGCAATTATAAACATCAAAATATAAATTCCAGATTATAAGGTTTCTGTGTAACCTCCCCTATGTTTTATATACAGTGAGAACGTGTGGATTAGGACAAATGGACAGTTCAAGTCACGAGATGAGGAATATCTGAGTCAAGCAAAAGCCACAAGCTTCTTTCTGTGGGCGGCAGAAACAAAGGGAACCATTAACAAAGGATGTTTTAACTTTTGGAGCCAATAGCAACAGAGACCATGATACAATTTCCTATGAGAAGACACAGCCTAACTATCAACATACAAACCCTAATCTTATATATACAGTATCCTGTTGGTGGATTTCTGTTGTGTTCCAGCTACATAAAGCAAAACCTTTCACACAGCTGATTTAAAGAATATAAACAATTGGTTATATTGTTCCCGTCAAAGTGCAAATTCCTGTGTTTTTTTTTAATATACAGTGCTAGACACTACTCATTTCTCTTCATGAAAGTGATGCATTTCTTCCACTGCACTGCTGGCTAAATTTAAAAGGGTAACAAATTACACTACATTCAAGCTTGGAGGAATTTCTTTTTAATTAGTCACAAAGAAAAATGGACATAATGATAACATCCAACAGTGGTAGTACATTATTTTTCCATTAAAATTATTAGGTATTGTGAAGGTTTTGTTTCATCAGTTGGTGCATGAACAATCAAGTTGTGCAATAACAAGAAAGTGTGTTACAATTTCTTTGAGACATTTTGTTGTTTGGTATCTGATCTAATGAGCTCGTCCTACAGGACTAGTAACATGCTTATGAAGTGTAATGTTTCTGAATAACTAAAAAGGTGTTTTAAGGTGCCAAGACCTTTACTCTGATATTTCACCTCTTGTCTAATGACTTGTTCTCAACTTGGCCCCTCTTGCCCAGGCCATGAATATCCATGCTTGACTCTTCCTATACAGAGATCAACACCAACCACATGTTTACAGATCATCGAGGCTCACAGCTGGATGTGTGTGTAGCTGGACACTGAGACCTTTTGTCCTTCTCAGGGGCAACATGCTCCTGTGTTGCTTTTTTAACCCCAGGAGCAAACCTCTGCTTCCGCTCTCCCACATTTGCCATTGTGTCACCTCAGATAGAAAAGGGAAGCGTTCAGGTCACTTTCACTGCTGTTGCCCTTTACTCTGCTTCTCATCTCTCCAAAAAACACACCACTATCCCGCTGGCTGTCATGTTTCATTTTGCCTTTTGTTCAGGTTTGCTTTGTGAAACCTCTACCACACCCTTTTACTGGATAGGATTTTGAAAATATAGGTAGGGCTGAATGTTACATCAGGTGATACATTCAGAAAGCAAACTCCCCTGAGAGGAGGAATGTTTGGATATGTTTTGTGTATCCATTTAGACAGCTGCAGTTAATACTTGAGGTGCTGTGGAGGTTGCAGGGTGGATCAGACAGACAAAAGCAGACAGATACAACACAGGCAGACTGGCAGACATTTCTTTCTATTTTCTTCTTCCTGTGAATTTATTTTTATTCAAACCGACAGCCACAACTATGACAAACAGATGAAGTGAGTGATCAGAACTGTCTTGGGTCAGACAGTAGGCTAATACAAGCTCTAGAAACCAGATAATTTTATAAAGAGGATGACAGCTGGATGCAATGAGCCAATATGTTGAAGGGTAGAAGTCTGGAAACTAAGCACATCAAATTCGCAGCAAGAATAACTTGTCTTTAAGCTACATTCATGGCAGATGATAGACTATAGCACAGCACCACTACTTTCTCCAAACTGACTGAGTAGAAACGGGATTTTATTGCTCTTATTAGATAAGTGGAGGACTGGCAGCTGAGAGATAACGGCCTGACACAAGTACAGTAAGAATTCAACTCGAAACCATCTCTCTCTCTAAGATATGAGCCTCTCCTCCATCTTATCCTACCAGATACATCCTATACTGTACAGGGCTGGAACTAATTATTATTTTCATTATCAGTGAATCGGAGAATCATTTTTCAATTAATTGAAATTGCTTGGTCTATGAAATAGCAAGAAAGGCACATCACATTCCCAGAGTGTCTTCAAATTGCAGCAACAGTTCAAAACCCAAAGACATTTAAATTTAATAAATATCAAAACAGAGAAAAAAAAAAATCCTCAGATTTGAGTCGCTGCTACAGCTGGTGAATATTTGGCATTTTTGTATTCCAAATTACAAATCTATCAATTATTTTAGTACAATCCCATGTAATAAGTGTGATCAGCTTTTCAATCAAGCTGAATATGCCAGGCTGCATAAAAGCAGAACGCAACATACTGAAAATACAGTATAACAGTAGTTATATAATATACGATACCAACCACTCATGTCATGGCTCCGTGGTTGTAAATTTTTGCCCCTACGGCATACTGTTCAACGTATCAGATGAAAGAAAAAAAAAATCATGATTATGAATGAGTGCAACCCCTGAGCCTGAGAGGCTTTGACTGAGACGTCCCTGTATTAGCATATTCATTGTCATATCACAAGCTCTGTAGTGAGCCTGCTTTCGAAACAATCACACTGACTCCAGGATTAGAATGACAGTTGTGTAACACTCAAGAAATGACACGAAACACGAGGCATACTAAATAAGTTGCTGCTGACATGGGGAGTAACAATTTCTGCATACTGAATCACAATCTGGTAGCACCGTTTGGTTATTTATCTTTTTTTTAATGAAACTATGACATTACACCAAGACCTTACAGCTGAAATGCATCAGGGAATATGTGAGATACCTGTCGTCTCAAGGACATGGAGCTAAATTGTCAACATATCAACGCTGAGATGTTAATCAAACTGCCAGACACCTTTGAGCCTCTAAAATCAATTTCATATTCAGCTGTTGCCGCCCGCCTTGTCTGAGTCGCTCCACTGCATATTAAACAATTACTGAAAGTTAGAAGAGCTTGTTTTATTCAAACAGCAATCAAGAAGAAGCCTGGGAGAAAATGTAAACTCAAGCTCTACTCTTGGAGAAAAAAATGATTTTAGAAAAATCAGACAAATAATGAGAGGCAAAGAGATACAAACTGATGACAAAATCATAAAAGGAAGTATGAAATGAGTTTCATATCATTAGGCATGTTGACATATTACATCATTTTGTCAAAACTTGATATCCAGTGTCACAGTAAGCTTCTCTTTTGGATTGTCTCTTGTAAGACTGTTCAGCTTGACTTCTATTAAACTAGACAGCAACACCCCATCCACCACTCCTGCATGTATAATTGTAATATGAGTGGTCACGACTGATGAGCTCCTCGAGTCGTGCTGAGATTGAGATTCGCAGGCCAAAGTTCACTGAGCTTGAACTGTGTGTACTGAGCGAAGATACAAAGATGGATGAAGACACATTTTCCCCTCTTGAAAATGAACTGAAGTGGATCGAACATGAAACTAATGTCACACAATCTAGAGACAAGGAAAGACCACAACCACTGAGAGGCTGCCAAAGCCATTGTTTCCATGTGGGCTGACTGTCAGAGGAAGGCCATGCTGGTGTTCCTGTCCTGCTCCTTTCTCATGCTCCGATGGTGACATGCTCTCACTTCCTCCAGTGGATCAGTCCCTTGTTGTGCTTGGCTATGCACAAGTGCTGTGGCCTGAAGGGAAACTCGCACTGTACTATTCACATGCTGCGGACATCACAGAGGAAACGTTCTCAGGATCAGCTTTCCCTCATGGAAATATTATCATAGTTGTGGAAGTTAAGAGAGAAATGTGAGCGTCAGGAGATTTCTTGCAAAAGCAGTAACGACATAAATGATCATATGAGAATTGTGCATGCTGTCGATTCTGAATGCATAACAGGCCTTAATGAAAATGTTGAATACAACACTATGAAAACAAAGATCATCCAGAACAACTATGGAATGTACGCAGAAATATCTGAGCTTGCCAATGACACCATGAAAGCTAACAGAATATGAAGAGGGACCACCCGCATGGGCATAATATTAATAACTTCCTTTCCCTTATATAATACAACTTAATCCTCATGACAACACTGATGCTTATCAAAAATCTCCTTTCACAAGCCTGAAATATGGTGCGCATCAACATTTTGGGCCATCTGAGCACTGATATGAAAATCTAGAAACACAGAATAATAAAAGATCACATCTGATATGGAAGATAATGTGTAACTGTACAAGCAGGGAGAACTGTGTTGCCCTTGGAACGACTGGTTATTTCAAGATTCACCCACCAAGCAGATAAACGTTTTACCAAACAAGATCATTTTGCTGCTTCAACAAACTTAAAATTGACTTATTCCTGTGGCCAAAAGATATTTAGCATGCATGAATGATCTGACTCTGCAGATCTGTCCAGAGTAGCAAATGTGAAAACTTGATTAATATCTGTAATCATGTTGCTAAACAGATCTTTGTTTATATAACCACTTCTGATTGCAGTTTAAAAATACCCTGTTAGTCAAGCTAAAAAATGAAATCACATTTTTAATCATTTGACTGCCATCTGTCCTCCTTCAAATAAGCATTTCAAATCCTCTATCTCAACCAGGTGGGCTAAAGACCTCTTGACAAATCATACCCCTTCAGTCGGGAGTCAATTGGCTCTCTGCTCTGACATTAAGTAGACATGGTTGCCATGGCAATCTCATTTGCATGCCACAAAAGACACCTGAGAAGCAGGAGCTGGAACCTAGTCAGGTTGATTCAGGGACAGCAAGCAAGGACGGTTCACAATTAACAGGATTTCAAAGCCATTTGTATCATTAAGATTGTAGGAAATGTTAATGGATGAAGCACTTGGCCACAAGAACTGTTGTACTGTAGTTTGTTTGGCTTGGCTGAGGGACTTTTCTCCATTGTAAAATAAGAATGCTCTCAAGGGATATATGTGTTTGAAGATACTAAAAGAGATGAGGCTACATGAGTGGTGAGTTTAGGAAAGCTCAGAGTTCATGTGAG